TTTGGTCTCTCGGATGTTTAGTCGTCGAGATGATGACGGGGCAGCATCCGTTCCCGGACTGCACGCAGCTGCAGGCCATCTTCAAGATTGGCGGGGCGAAAGCCACGCCGACGATCCCCGAGCATGCGAGCGAGGAGGCGCAGCAGTTTCTGGCGCAGACGTTTGAGATTGACCATAATAAGCGGCCGAGCGCGGACGAGCTGATGTTGAGCCCGTTTTTGACGCCGCCGGCGGGGAGTTGAGAGCCTTTTTTTTTGGGTTAAGGGTTGAAGGTGTGTTTTTTGCGGGAGTGGGTTGTTTGGTGGAGCGAGCGAGCGTGTTTTTTCGACTCTACTCCTTTTTTTTTCGTGAGGGTTGGAACGAAGAGGCCTTTTCTTTTCTGATGGCTGTATGTATGTGCTGCGCTCTACATTGTGTGGAACGTGCCTGGGCTGGTCTGCTGCGATGAAACGGGGATGGATGGTGATGGGTTTGATGAATGTCATGTTCACGAATTTTACTTTGGAGGTTGAATGTTGATGATGATGGAGAAGATAGGGGGGTGGTTCTTTTCGGTCTTTTTTGTGGTAGATGTCTGGTCCTTTTGGGCGGCGCGCGCGGATATATACAATGTGGTGGTGTTTTACTCTACAGTTGTCTGGGACACATAGCACTCATCTCTGTCTCTCTCGTCGTTTCTCCTCCTCCTCCGGTCTCTATATATTTTGTGGACGGATACAGACTCTCAGACGGACAAGCATGTGGGCGGGCGTAGCGATGATCTAAAAAACCGTTTCTTGATCCAACGTTTTGCTTTACTGTAGTGCTTTCTCTGGGCTCTGTGCGGTTTGGGAAGATAGGGGGTTGTCTACTCCCGGCGGGGTGGACTGTCCTTGCACAGCCAGTGGCTTGGGTGAGTGGTGGAGGATTTGGTGAGAAGAGGCGTGGTTGCCGAGTTACCCGTCCGCGATATTGGTCGGGAGGTTTCTGGCTGGTCGCGAGCGGCCAGTCCTGCTCCGGTGCCGTATCTCCGAACCACCGCCGCTGGGGAACGGAGGCGGATAGGGTCTTGGGGTGGTATCCGGATGTGCGCCTCTCCCCTTGAAAAGAAAGTTGCGGTTCGGGAGATTCTTGATGGATGGGTGGGAGGGAGTGGCACTGTCGCCACGTGTACAGAGACCATCTACCGAGCTTCTTCTCGGTTTACCTCTGGGGCGGAAGACAGAAGCAGCTCCGCGGCGTTGAAGTGGTAGACAGGCAGATAGGAGTCGGCCGATCAGCGAGGTAGAACAACAGGGAAGAAGCTGACCTACTTACATCGGATGCGGTGCTCCTCCTTCCAAAATAGCCACCCTGACGCTCACCCCCCCCCCCCCCCCCTCATTCTTCTGCTCTGCTCTCTGCATCTCCTTGGTCTATGCCATCTCCTCCTCTGGCATTTGCCATCAATCCATCCACCATTCTGCTCCATCCACCACCCACCCAGCTCCCATCCCCGTACTATAGTAGATGGATTCACGACAAACCACCAGGATACCCTCTCACGTGCCCCTCCCACCCAACCCACCCCCATCCCAACAGCAGCAGATAGATGGATGGAGTGATGGATGGATTAATGGATGACCTGCATATGGTATGACACGTCCACCCCGCGGAAGGCATCTGTGTGGACAATCCCTCTGATTACCCGGGTTTGTGGTAGATTGGTTATGTTACTATATATAACTAGCCCCCTGCCTGCCTCCCGTCCCCCCTTGAATAAAAATGTTTCCGGTGTAACAAAACACCAGCCTGCTGCCGTCCTACCTACCCCCCGAGGGTCAAGTCAGGGGCAGGGGAGGTTGGAGGCTCACCGCTGTTGGGGAGGGATCACATGCTTGTGTTGGATTGTGGAACTGGGGATTTGTTTTTCTACACAGCCTCACTGGGGTGTTCAAGCACCAGAGTCTGTATTTCCATTTATCCACAGGAGGGAAACGGCGTGTTTACAGTCTCGATTTGATGTCCCGGTTGCTACCAACCTACTATGAACGTTGGCCATCTGGAATAATCCAGTGCCTGACTGAGTAAAAAACCCCTTGGAAACTTCAATGCCTAATCACCAGCATAGAACCGAATAAACAACCACAGTCCATACCACTGATCATGTTTTCCCGAATCCCTATCCTCACCCACACACTCCTGTTACAACCCTCTGCTTCCCCACAAGACTCCTCCAAGAGCCTCCCCTCTCCACACTCCACCTCAACCACCCCTCCATGCCCCCTCCCTTAAGTAGACGACGGCGTCCCCTTATGCAACGCCGCCTTAATCTTATCCTTCAGCTTCACCTTCTCCCTCGCCAGCGCATCATGCACCTCGTGCGCCTCATGATGCTCGTGGTGCTCGCGGTGCTCATGCCCCTCGTGCACCTCGCCGCCGTCGTGCGTGTCGTGCTGGTGCTGGACGAAGCGATGCACGCCCTTGGCCTCGAGGAGTCCTAAGCTCTGTGTTAGCATCACCGCCTTTCCTTTCCCCGAGATATGTAGGAGAACCATCACCCCCTTTGGCCCAGAAAATGTAGGAGAACCAGAGAGAGAGGTAAGTTAAGAAAAGGGGAAAAAACGCACGATCAGCCTCCCTCCCCGCCCCCGGCTTCGCGGCATCAAAGTCCCCGCCATCCGCCGCCAACCCGCTCGACTTGACATATTCCTCGCCCGTGCCCGCCTCACCGCCGAGGCTCTTGCCGCTGTCGCGTCTGTTCTTGCCGGCTCCGGCTCCGGCTCCGGCTCCAGTGGCGGCGGCGCTTAAGTCACCACGAGTGGTGTGCTGCTCGGGAGTGTTGAGGTCGCCCGCGTCGCCGCCGTGCTCGCGGGCGAGTTCCTCGAGCGGGCGGGGACCGGGGCCGGTGAGTTTGACCTCCGGGATGTTGTCCTCGTCGGCTTCGTCGTCAAGCATGGATTTGGGTTGGGCTTGGGTGGGTTTGGTGGGGGAGGTGGAGGTGGAGGTGCGGGAAGGGGTGGTTTGGGAGGGGGTGGATTTGGGGGTGTTGGCTGGAGCTTTGATGGGCATGGAGGAAGTGGAGGTGGTGGTGGTGTCTGAGGTTTTGGTCGTCATGGGTGACGAAGTGGTGGTGGTGGTAGCCATGGGGGATCTGGTCGTCGTGGGTGAAGTGGCGGAGGTGGTGGTCATAGGGGATCTTGTGGTCATGGAGGGGCTAGAAGTGGAAGTGGTGGCGGGGGGCGTGGTTATCATGGACGGGGAAGAGATGGATGCGGCGGCAGGAGCCCTGGTCGTCATCAACGGGGTGGAAGTGGTAGCCATTTCGTCGTGGATACCAGGCATGTCCGTGGTCTCGGCCATCCCAGTCCGCTCGGCCCTGCCGGCCGGTCCAGTCATGCCAGGAATGCGAGTGGAGGTGGTATCACGAGGCGAGGCGGGAGTGTCAGCCATGGCTGTAGGCATATTGGTGGTGGGAGTGGCATCTGCGGGCATCACGGGCTGGTCGGAGGGAGTACGGATCGGGAGCGTGTTGCCCCGGGGCTTGGACGAGTCACCGCGGATGGGGAGGGTCGAGGGAGCCATCTGGGCTGGGCCAGCTGAGGCAGCTGAGCTGCTGGGAGACACGACCTTCCGGGGGATCGCGTGACGCTCCTCGATGGGGGGTGACTGGTCTTCCGTGATGCCTGGTTTGGTGGTGGCTTCGCTCTCGGGAATCGTTGATTCAGCGCTGGTAATGCCCATTGCCGCGGCTGCGGCCATGGCGGCCTTTCCGATTGTTTCCTGAATTGTGGTGGCAGTAGTGGCAGTAGTGGTGGTCGTGCTGCGGCTGCCGGTGGTCTGCGTTCCCATGTTGGCTGCTGTCGGGCCAGCCTGACTCTCCATGGCGGTGGATGGAGCAGCGGGTTTGTCGGGCTCTACTCAAGAGTGTTTAATTGTCTGTTTGGATGGTCCTGTGTCGGATGTACTCTGTGGCATGGCGTCAGGAGTCAGTATGTGCATGCCCCTTTTCTCACAAGAAAACTCGGGCCCACTAACCACCAATGTTGCCGGCGTCGTAGGGCTCGCCGGCAGCCACGTTGCCCATGTGGCCCGAGAGGGGCTCCTCGCCGGACTTAGCTTCGTCGCCGCCGAAGAGGACCTTGGACGCCCGCCTGGCGAATTGCTGGACCGTGTCCATGGTGGCTGTCCTTGAGGGGGTGTAATGGATGGATCCTGCGAGGTGTGACTGATGTGGGTGTGTGGTGTGTCCGTGTTCCAGTTTGTGACTCGTGTGGCCACGGGAACGAGAGAGGTCTTTATTCTGACGAGGGGAGGGAGGTACGAGTCCAGGACTGCCCTCGGTACTCCTTCCCGCTGATCGCTCTCACGAATCGCAACTACGACGGCTACCCGAGCTACCCCCATTCCCTGGTGACGTATGGGAGCGAGTCTCTTTCTTTCTGCTGCCCCCTTCACCTTCTTCTGACTTTCCCTCAGGGCCCCAAAGCCTTGCTCGGCCTGCAGATTGATGCCATCCCCAGCACCACTCCCTTTCAGCTACATACTTGCTTTTTTGTTGTCTGGTTTCCCTTTGTCTCTTCGTCCCTCAACCCCGTCCCAATTGTCCACTTAAAGTACCTATCATCTCTTCTCCGAGGTCCTCGACCAACACGGACAGGCTTCCAGCATGACGTCTCTTCGACACCCTCTCCTCTGACGTCACCTCTCCGCGACGATCTTTCTCTTTGCGGCTGGTGGCAAAAGACCCCAACGTCAGTCAGGGAGGAAAGAAGCCAATTCCACGATAGCAAATCCTCCCCGCCCCCACCCTTGCTAATCTTCACCATCCTTCCCCCTCGTTTGCCGATTCGGATGTTTGAACCCAGTCCATCATCCCTCACAGGACCGTCCTCCGTACTCGATAAAGAGTTAGCCCCACCGACGCACAATCCCCACACCAAGGACAAACAACGCAGGGAGCAACACGGATGTCGCTCCGCAGCGGAGACACGCACCGCTCCGGGCGGGCCAAAAAAATGCCAAAATTTAGCAAAAGGGAAAGGTCGTACCCGGAATCGAACCGGGGTTGCCGGAATGTTTCTGAGGCAGATCAGAATCCGGAGTGATAACCGCTACACTATACAACCGTTGAACAACAGCTGATTGTTGACAAGGGTTGGGGATGGTTTGGTTTTATGCTGGGTTTGAGTGGGTTTGGAGGCCAACAACATCAGCAAAAAATGCAGAAAATGCAGAAAATGCAGAAAATGCAGAAAATGCAAGAACAGTTCCGCTTTCATGGCGTGATGCTGCTTGGGAAATTGAATAGTGGTGCTGATCGGGTAAAAATGCATTGCATGTTGGATGCCACAAGATTTACATGTGCGTTGGTGGTGTTGGCCCTGAGAATGAATAAAAACACCATGGGACGCCCCTGAGAATAAACCGACGAAATCGCAAGAGGACAACAGCACGAAAACGCATCGGAATCCAAATCTGCATTCGGCTGGGACAAAACCATGACTCTAAATCGTCTTGCACCCTCCCACCTATCACCCCCATTACAGCTTGATACTCTTGACCAGCCCCGTCTTGATGCCCGACAGCTCGCCCTGGTACCCGCCTGGCCCCTCGCCGCCCTTGTACACGGCCTTGACGCTCCGCAGCTTCTTCTTCTTCTCTTCGAACATCATCCGCTTCTTGACACGAGGGTTGCGCACCTCCTTCCTGCGGTGCGGCGTGAGGCCCTTGTTCTTCTGGATCTGGTACGAGATCTGCCGCTTGCCGTCCTCGCCCACGCCCTCGGCCTCCACCACCCGCTCGCCGCGGCGCGCCTTGGCCAGCGCCTCGTACCGCGCCGCCTTCTCGCCGCGCTTCTTCTGCGCCCCGTGCGCCACCATGTCGTAGTACTCATCCTCGTCGCCGCGCACTTGCTTGGCCACTGCCGCGTCGTCGCCGTCGCTGTCGTCCCCGCCCAGGGCCGCGCCGAACTTACTGTCCTTCTTGCCGCGCCGTTCAGCCTCGAGGTTGAGGCGGGCTTGGCGGTCCCTCTGTGGTGGTGGTTAGCGGATACGTATTAGAACAATAGGGGGCTGTGGTCCAACTAACGAATCGTTCGCGGTACGGAAGATCCATATCACCGCCCGCATCGCGACCAGCGCCAGCGCGCTTGCTGGCCTTCTGGACGATCTGCGAAGTGTAGAACTTGAGCGTCTTCTTGCGGCGCGCCTTGTCGGCGGCCGTGTGGGCGTCGAGCAGCTCCTCCTCGCCAAAGTCGGAGCGGTTATCGTCGTTGCCGTCCTCGGCTGAGACGGCAGGCGCCGCGGCCGCGCTCCTGGGCGTCTTGGTGCTCGTGAGCAGCGTAGACAGGTCGGCGAGAGACTGCTCGACCGCTCGGGCCTTCCTGGCCGCCTCACTCGCCTTCTTCTTGTTCGCCTTGATATCAGCCTTGGAGAGCTTGGCCGACTTCCGCTTAGGCTGCTCAGGCACGGAATCCAGCATCTCGAGATCCTCCTCCTCAGGCGGTGAGAGCATGCCGGTGTCTGACCCAGCAGACTTGGCCGGCCTGAGCTTTTTGGCACTGGCCCACGCCTCGCGGCACTCCATCAGAGTCTCCATGACCTCGTGGTCCCGGAGTTCTGACGGGTTCAGGGTTACCGCGCCCGCCTCGCCATCCCGCGAGGGAGAGGTCAGGATGGAGAAGTAGCTGGCCAGGGCGGCCACGTAGCACCCGAGGAGCCAGGACTTGATCACCTCTAGCGACTTGGCCGGTTTCCCCTCGGCATCCTTCTGTAGTATCGGCAGGAGCGGCTGCAGTTCTCTGAACTCGTCGACAAGGTAATCGAACTCGGGATACCGGGCCTGGAGAAGCTTGTATCGCTCGTCGGGCCCCATGTCCTCCGTCACCTCGACCTCCTGCAAGACCTCGGTCACGACCTCCTCCTCTCCTTCCTGGTCCTTCGGGGCGGCCCATTCGCTCTCGTCAAAGGCGAAATCGGCCTCCTGCATCTTGGCCAGCTTCTTGGCCTGGAGACGCCGCGCCTCTGCTTCTTCTTCCTGCCATGGGTGTTAGCGGCGTCTGGCGGCGACGGCGCGCCGGAGTGAAACACGTACCAAAGCATCGGCCTCCGTCTCAATATTATCCGCATCGTAATACTCCTTCTTCGACGACCCCCACCAGCCCTCATCCCCCTCCTCCTCCTCCCCTCCCCGCTGTTCTACGTCCGAGACATCCTCGTCCCTGGCACCAACCTTCCCGTCAGCTTTGCGCTTCGTGGGAGCCTCCTCTTCCTCTTCCTCGTCGCTCTCGTCCGATAGCTCCTCCCCAAAGATCTCCTCGTCCGAGGCCTCCAGGAAAGCATCCTCCTTCTCCTGCCTCTTGAGGCGCTTGGAGCGCGGCTGGCCGTCGTCGTCGTCAAAGTCGATGCGGTCCTGCTTCGCCCAGTACTCGTCCTCCGAGTCGGCGACGTCCTCGTAGGTCTTGATGGTGAGGCGGGCGTCCTTGGCGTCGACGTCGCGGGGGCCGCTCGGCTCGGACTTGCGGGAGACCTTTCTCTTTTTCGCCATCTTGGAGGGATCGGTCGGCGTGGGCGGGGGACGAGAGGGAGAGGCTGTCGCTGGTCGGTCCGGTTACAGGGGGTTCGAGTCGCAGAATCGAGGGTTGTGTCTGTGTTTGTCCACGCGGGTGTGGGGTTCGTCTCGTGCTGTAGCTTTGGTCCTGGTGTTGCTGCTGCTTTTGCTGGGTGGCAGAACTTTTTTTTCCTATCGATACCACTCAAGGCCACCGCCTGCAGGCCACCACCAGGGCGGGTCAGGGCCCACCTCTCCCGCTGCGTTACCCCAGCCGTGGCCCTGCCGCTTGTGCAGGACCCATTGTACCTCATCCCTGCAAGCCACATCCAGGAGCTCGCACTCAGCTCGGTCTCATCTCCAGCTCACTGACGACGACAACTCAGCATATCCAACGAGGGAGGGCGTCTTTCCTGTCCCCCATGGATATCCTGCAACAGCTCGGGATCCCGCTGCCTCTTGCTACTAGCGCTCTAGGCTTGATCTTGGCTCTCATCGCAAGCATGGGCTTGCTTGGGCGAAAGAACCACATGCCGGTCGAGGGCAAGGTATGGTGCACCAGCTCACAATAAATCAATAAAACAACAACAACCACAAAAGAAACCGACCAACTGACCGTGCACCCGCCAGACCGTCCTCATCACCGGCGCCTCCGAGGGCATGGGCCGCAGTGCGGCGATGCAGCTCGCAGCCAAGGGCGCCCACGTCATCCTCGTCGCGCGCAATGTCGGGCGGCTCGAAGAGGCCCTCGCCGACGTCAAGGCCGCCGCCGCCTCTCCCTCCTCCCAGCGCTTCACCTACATCTCGGCCGACGTGTCCGAGCCCGACTACGCAGCCGCCGTCATCGCCGAGGCGATCGCGTGGAACGGCGGCCAGGCCCCCGACATCGTCTGGTGTATCGCGGGCATGTCGACGCCGCTGCTGTGGACCGACGACGGCGCCATGGCCGCCGCCCGCCGCAACATGGACGTCAACTACTTCGGCTCCGCCGAGATGTCCCGCGCGATCCTCCGCGAGTGGCTCAGCCCGGAGGCCAGCACCAGCCCCAAGTCAGAACCCAAACACATCATCTTCACAGCCTCGGTACTTGCGCTCTTCGCCATCGTCGGCTACGGGCCCTACACCCCGTCCAAGTGGGCCTTGCGCGGGCTGGCCGACACCCTCGCCATGGAGCTGAACCTGTACCCGGACAACCCGGTCAAGGTGCACGTGGTGTACCCGGCCACCATCACCAGCCCCGGGCTGGAGCGCGAGAACAAGACCAAGCCGGGGATCACGCTGGAGTTGGAGAAGGAGGAGCCGCCCGAGTCGCCCGAGACGGTGGCGCAGCGGGCGATCGCGGGGTTGGAGCGCGGGGAGTACTTTGTTGCGGTGTCGTTCTTGGGGAATTTGATGCGGTGTGGCGTGATGGGCGGGTCGCCGAGGAATAATTGGGTGTTTGATACACTGCTGGGCTGGCTGGTGCCGGTGATTTACTTTTTTGTGTTGAGGGTCATGAACGGGCAGGTCAGGGGGTGGGCGAAGACGCATGGGCATCCGGCCAAGGGGGCGGCGGCGAAGTAATGAGCGTAATGTGGGAGGGCCAAGCACTCAGTGTAGGGTGCGACGGGAATACGCGATACCTTTACTTAATGGTCGATTGAAGTTTTACCAAATTGTTAGACTATGCCAAGTAGATGTGGCCACTTGAGCAGGAGGAGATTCTGTCTCATGGCGAGACAACAAATATAGCAAGAGGTGCGCGTCTGCGTCTGTGATGTCCTGTGTACGGATAGCGACGCTTCAGAAATCCAGCAGAGGTTTGCCAAACCATGCAATTACACGGCTACACCGATCAGAGACTGCAGTCATGCAAGCGAGCAGTCATCCGGGGACGACGCGGTTTGAAAAGCATAGCGGGCATACAAACGTGGACTTGTCATCGCTGGTGAGAGTATAAAACGCAAGGGCTGGAAGAGCAAATGTGGGCCTGTGATATCCCATTTCTCGACTCGGCACGGACAGCGCACGGACCAAGCGTGCATCGTGCTGCAGCTGCTGATTGGCCAATCGCGACAAAATCTCCGCCGACCAGCCCCTCCAACAGCGCCCTCGCGCTCCAAGCTCTGCCTCAAACCTCACCCCAAAAGTGTCGCCCGGCCTGCTACAGCTGACGACAGCTGCTCAACGCAAGAGACCAACGACCAACTCCTGACCCTTGCTCTTACTCTCACGCGCCGCTGCTGAGCTGCGCCCGGGGGACGACGGGTTCGATATCGGGATTGGGATTGTGATATTGTGAGATTCTGGGATTCCAGGATTCCAGACTCCGGGGGCTGGACTGGGTCACTGGGGACTGGAGCGATAGCGCCATCCCGCCTGGGCACGGCGAGCGAGCACAGAGCAGATCACAGAGCAGAGCATGAAACAGTCAGCCATCCGCTCGCAGCAGCAGCGCGGTCGCCCAAACAAGGTGACCAAGCCGGGACCTTCGCCGCGCGCCCGCGTCGTGCGCCAGCCGCCGCCCACCGCATCGGTCGCCGCTGTCGCTGCTGCCGCTGCCGCTGCTGCAGTCCATCTCTCGGGCCACGACGACCCG